GGATGTGCACGCTACGCAAAGCAGGCTACGCTCCAGCATTACCAGTATCACCGCAGACGTTATGCCCTTGTACCCACGCTTGCTTGCTTTTGCATGATAAATGTGCAAAATGTGCTCTCCCCTATTGTTTCTCTGTTGTTCCCCTATTGTTCGCTGTCATTCAAGCATAAGTGTAAAAGAGTATAAAAATCAAATGTCTCTCCTCTGCCTGCTACCGCACTCTAACGAGTGATGGTCCCTGCCGGCAGGTAAATAAATCTCTCTCGATAATTCCAACCAGTCTCTGGTCTCGTCCGTAAAATCTCGCCATACAACAGCCTCCATGTTTCCGCAGCTGCTCCTCCCGTGGTCTCTCCCTCAACCCTCTGTCCAGAGGGAGGCTGCTCCAGGGGGCCTGGAGAGCTCTCTCGGCCCTCAGGCACCCCACCTCCTCTTCTAGCAGGGTTACCAACTTGCACCGGGGGCAAGTGTATCCCTGCCTCTCCTGGGGGAGAAGGGTGAACATGTTGCAGCTCTCGCAGCGGACAGCAACACCCGTGACTCCCGCCAAGGCCATCTCCTGGTCTGCCATCGGTATCCCTCCCGAGACCTTACCTTGGTCCCCTGCCTTGTCTGTCCTGCAGTTCCTCTCACTCGCCCAGTTCTCCCAGACAAAAACCCACTCGCACACACACACAAGGATAAAATAAACTTAAATTTAAATTGGAAAAACAAAGCACAGCACAGCACAGCACAAACAAAACAAAACAAACAAACAAACCTCTGTGTCTCAGGGAAGGGAGTCTCCGGACAGCCCGGGCCGCAGCTAAGGGACGGAGACAAGGGATGATGCCTTATCAGTCCCTCCGGCCGGTGGCCCCGCCTGTCCGCTTCCTCCTGGCCCCTCTAGCCTCTCTGGCCCCGCCCCCTTCCTCTCCGCTGCTCCTTCCCTCCACTCCCCTGCCCAGCTCCTACCTTACCTTCGCCAGTCCCCTGGCCACTCAGCGCTCTCTCCCAGCCTGTGCCTCTGCTGCTCTGCCAAGAGGCCAGAGCCAATAAAGATGTTTTGGCGAGGATTGGTTGCTGGTAGTTGTTCGAAGTATTGGCTCACGACACCTATTTAAAGATGTCTCTAGAGCAGTGGCGGAGAACCTACAGCATGCATGCCGCAGCGGGCACGCAGAGTCCTCTCTTTCGGCACACAAGGCAAGTCGCCCCAGCAGCCAAGCATCGGATAACAGCACACATAGGAACCACGCACATGCTTGGAAAGGAGTAGCAGCACTAGGCGATGATGTCACAAGCCGCGACTCATTAGCTGCGACTCATCTAAGCTTTCGCATGGCCATCAGTGCACTGCCAAGGATATACATATATTTGCTTGGGTGGGCTGTGAGTTTTAATACATTCATTTTATTAACACAAGTTTTTAGCTTTGAGTTTTCTTATGAAAAATTGAAATTTAATATCTAAGATTTAGCAAAGAGATGTTCTAATTGATGTTGTGCTGGCATATTTGAATCTGCAGCATCATATTCAGGTTTTATTGCAGTGTTGGCACTTTGTGATAAATAAGTGGGTTTTGAGTTGCAGTTTGGGCACTTGGTCTCTAAAAGGTTCGCCATCACTGCTCTAGAGTAGTCAAACATTTCCCCTTTGGTCCTGAGGAATTTCATGAACACCAGCTGCAAGATTTGTGGGTCCTGAAACCAGGCCCAGACTCCTGGGCAAAGTAGCACTCTCATGCCAAGCACTTGGCCACCCCCACTTCGATTTTTTCAGGCAGCAGTAAAACAGCTTAGCAAGCTTCTGGCTTGAATTTGCTTTGATGGGCCTCATGTTTTGCAAGCAGGCATTAGAATATTTCTTCTCTGCCATGCATAAGGAACTGACCAAGGCCTGGTTTCTTTCTGCTTCTCAGAACTATTTCAGCCCATTTGTGCAATTATAGGATTTACTGACCTGTTCCCAACCCTGAAGCGCACACCCCAGACTTTTACTGATAGCCTTGCCCAAAAAGAGAGAGCCTTACATGACTGGCAATGTTTTACATGCAGGTAACGCCCCAATCTCCATCATGTCAAATTGAAATATTAAGGATTCTGTCTGTTTCAAGGGAAACTGTGATTGGCTATGTGCCAGGAATATTCAGAAAAGAGATTCCGATCAGATGTCCTATTAGTAGCAGAAAATGAATAGCTTCTTTCTGCATTCCTCATTGCATATTGGAATGTGGAGCCAGGAACCAGTCAGAACTTGTGCGTTTTGAAGAAAGACTTATCCCCTAAATGCAAGATCTCTACTTTCCAGTATTATTACTATTATTGCATTGTATTTATATCCCACCTTTTTCCTCTTATGAATAACCCATAGCTGTATTTTATGCTCACAACAACCCTGCGAGGCAGGCTAGGCTGAGAATTAGTACCAACCTAAAGTCACCCAGTAAGTCTCGTGGCTGAGTAGGGACCAGAACTTGGGTGTCCCAGATCCCCAGAAAAGGATCTCAGCGGTCCTGGCTGGAATATATTCTTTCCAATTTGTACAATGAGCTGTTTCATCCCTTCATATGACTATGTCAACTGAGCAGGAACAAACATAGGGTGCAAGGGAATGACTTCTGCTCTGAAATGTGGTACATGGTATATGTAAAGCTGCAGTAATGTCTCCCTGGAGAAAGGATGCAACAGTCACCTGCATTCACACTGTCTCCCCTTCCCATCATTTCCTGGGACAGTGCCAGCTTAGACACCCATTGATATTGTAAATTAATTTCATAACCAACAATATCGACTTATCTCACTCACTGCTAGTTTCTAAATGACTCAGTGTATGTTTGTTTGAGATCAATACCATTGTTAATTTTAACAAAAGACCTATTAATATGGTGGGTAGATGTGGATAGACGCATGACGATGGCTAAGTGCATTGTTTCCCAGCATTGTTTCTCAGCTGCAGCATTTCATTTTTTCCATACAGGGCTAACTTAAATAGAAGAAAATACAAGGGTACAACCAGGAATATCATTAGAGCATAGGAATAAATCCAGTCCCCACACAACCACCAGTTGATGTGACTTCTGCCACCTGATTACTTGTCAGAGTTAGTGCTCTTTCCAATCACCAATGCTGCAAAAATTCATATACAATGATAGATCATCCAGAATGCTTTTGCCAGGGAAGATTGCTTCTTGGATTTACCTTCCCATCCAGCCACCTCCTTGATTTTCTTCAATCTTTTTATTTCATGGGATGCTGGCAGAACTACCACATGTGTCTTCCTACCTGTGTCAGCATGACACATTCCTTCACCTTTCCAGTCTCCAGTTATGCTTTAACTGGGCATGTTTGTTGCAAGCTACACATGATGGACAACAATCTCAGTCTGAATTTTAAGGCCCTGTGACAGCATGGCAACTTGGCTAGTGGCTTAGAGTGGCTTTCAAACTGAAAGCAGCATCCAGAGTAGGTTTTGCTGTGTTCTTGTTAATTTTTCTCACTGAATTTATAGAGTTTCAGTGATAATTTTTTTTGGCCAAATAGCATTAATTTCAAGCTTAGTGGTGTCACATCTACTAAGACAACAGAAGGATGCTGCACTCCAGTAGTCATGAGATGTTTAACCATGCATGGCACTGCAGCCAGATCCTTCTCTGTGCTATGTAGAAAGCATGTATGTGCAGAGTTCTGCATGCATACTTGGCATACGTAACCGTTTGACTGACATGTACTTTAACTTGATGTTTCTTTTATTTCTTGTGAATGGGAGGCACTCTAAAGCACAAAAGAACTGAAAAAGGCCTTGGAATTATTGCAGACAACAGGCTAAATATAAGCCAACAGTGCAATGCAGTTATAAAAAGGACAAATGCTATTTTGGGATGCATGTATAGAGTACCTCTATACTCCTCACTGGTCAGATCTCACTTGAAAAACTGTCCAGTTCTGGGCACCAAGATTTAAGAAAGATGCAGGAAAATTAGAAGGGTTCAAAAGAGGGCAACAAAAATGATCCAGGGTTTGGAAACAATGCCCTGTGAGGGCAGACTGAGAGAACTGGGCATGTTCAGCCTTCAGAAGATAAGACTGAGGGGGGACATGATATCCCTGTATAAGTCCCTCAGAGGCTGTCACAAAGAGGAAAGTCCAGATCTCTTCTTGCTGATGTCAGAGTGTAGGCCACAGAATAATCAACTCAAGTTGCGACAACCCAGGTTCAGGCTGGACATCAGAAAAGTTTCCTCACTGTCAGAGCAACATGACAACGGAACCAGTTGCCTAGAGAGATCCCAGGATCTCCCACAGGAGAGAGATTCAGAAAGAAACTGAACCTGGTACCTTTTATCACATGTGGAGGACCTGTGATAAAGCAAAAAAATACGGAGTTAAGATACATAGATGGCTTGGGAAAATGTTGCAAAGATCTGTAATGTTTAAACCAGAAATATTTTTGTTAGGCATTCTCCCCGATGTTCTCGATAAACAAAGTATATATTTGACTTTGCATGTAATAACAGCAACAAGGATCGCATATGCGCAATGTTGGAGAAATGAAGAGCTACCAGCTGAAGATTTGATCTTGAAGAAGAGATTGGACTGTGCAGAAATGGATAGACTGACTTTATCACTTAAGGAAAAAGAAGATACAGTTTATTACCAAACATGGGACTTTTTTTATCAATGGCTACAGAATCGGAACTCTAGTATGGGCTAAGATACATAGCATTTGTAGAGAAATAAGACTTTATACACAGTATGTTTGAAGTCTTCAGAATAATTATTTGTTTAGTGATTAGAGAACAATAGAAATAGAAGAAAGAAACTGGACAGCCATCTGATGGGATGGTGTAAATGGGTATCTTGTAATATCGGGGGATTGAACTTAAAGGCCTTCATGGCCCCTTCCAACTCTACTATTCTATGAATCTAAAGCATTTTCTCATGAATGTCAGAGATAAGACATACGACACAGATTGACCTGTGTCCTGATGGAAAATAGCTTTTCCCTTATTTTAAATATAGTGGAGAAAGGGATAATTTCCTTCAACTAAATGGAGGTGATGCCAATGTGACCAAGGGCAGATGGCGTCGATCTTCAAGCAATCCACCACAACCCATTGACTGTGTGCTTTCCAGTTGGTCCTCATGGAGCATTTGTGATCCTTGCCAGAAGAAAAGGGTAAGTCTATTTGTGATATATGTATCTTATATTTTGTATGTCATGTTTTCTTTTATACTTTCAGAGCATTAAAAGTAGAAGCTTTTGACCAAAGAATTGGTAGCTAGTTCTGACTTTGGTCGAACTCCTTGCCCTTACCACTCATGGATCCAGTTCGCACAGTCAGCCCGTGGTTGTGGCATGTGCTGGAAGCCATTTTGAACAGTGAGCAGTAGCTGTCATGCCGTGTGCCATCTGCACCAGGTCGCCAGTGAGGTGACAGCCTGTCCACAACCCTAAACAGCCCACCTGTTGTGAGTGCATTCTTAACTACACAAACAACACACCCTCCTCAGGTCTGACAGGCATAATCAACCCCTGCAATTTTAGGGATAGCATATTGTCTAGTAGAAGAAAACAACCATGCCTAACTTTCTAACCATGTATAGATGGGACTCAGTGAAGCTCACCTGTGCTTTTCCTGAGCTGTAGCTGACTTTAGCATAGTCAATGAAGCAGAAGTAGATGTTTTTCTGGAACTCCCTAGCTTTCTCCATGCTCCAGTGTATGTTGGCAATTTGATCTCTAGTTCCTCTCCCTCTTCGAAATCCTGCCTGTACTTCTGGTAGTTCTCGGTCCACATACTGCTGGAGCCTAGCTTGTAGGATTTTGAGCATAACTTTGCTAGCTTGTGAAATGAGTGCAATGGTGCGGTAGTTTGAACATTCTTTGGCATTGCCCTTCTTTGGGATCGGAATGTAAACTGACCTTTTCCAATCCTGTGGCCACTGTTGAGTTTTCCAACAGTGAGTTTTCCAGTTTCATCCCAATATCATCTTATAGCCAAAGCTTTTCTTGGACTAAATCCTACTAGTCACTTAAGTGCTTTGAATGAATGAAGAGCAGGTCCTTCCTTCACCTCCCATGCATGGCACATGTTTGGGAATCTCTGCTCTTTCCATGATAGAACTCTCCTGATGTCCCCCCCGCCCACCTTATGTTGAGTGGTTTCAATATCCCTGTTTTTGACTGGGAGATTATGGCTTGCAGCTGCTCATTTTTCGTCCTTCAGCATTTTCCACTGGCAAACTGCCTTCAGACAAAACCTTTGATTGTTACAGGCAGTCATAGTAAAATTTCCATTATCTTTGAAAGTGGAGGATAATATTGCCTTGTCACCTTGCTAAGACAATCATTTTGGGAGTACTCATTCTTGGCCTTTCTCAGAGTGACAGCTTGCATACTATTGCTTTTCATTATTACTCTTGTTACTAAAATAGCAGCTGAAGCCCTGGCCCCATGGCTTCTGACATTATCTGTATTTGTTCCAAGCATATGCTAAGAAAAGTAGATATTACAAACTAAGGAAAGCACACACAACATTAAACTAAAACCTGAGGAAGTTCTGTGATCCACATATTAGTTGTATCTGGTGATATAAAGCTTCTTGCATTTTCCTGTTAGCATATTAGCATATGGCTGAATGTATGGAACACAATTCTGAATAAGTGTGTGCCTGTTCTTCAAGGCATCTTCATGCCATTACGGTAATGCTGGAAATACTGATGACAGAATGTGCAAACAGGTCCCATAGTCACCTGGTCTACAGAGAGGGGTCAGTATAGATTGAGGTCCGCAAGAGAGATGAACCCTAGGAAAGAGTTGCATGGCCATATCTGACCCATGATATATGCCCAAAAGGTGTGTCAAAGAAATACAATGTAGCTATACCTGTGTGGCATTTAGGTATACATCTCTCCTTGAGTAATACACAGCAACCTGGTGCTGAGTAAACCGAGGAGGAGGAGGAAGAGGAGGAGGAGGAGGAAATGATGATTGTTAGTATTATTTCTATACCATCCCACGCCAAACCTCTTGGGACAGCAGATACAAACAGCAGATAAATGCAAATAAAAATGCAAGACAAATGGAAAAAATATATAACAATTAAAACATTAAAATAAAGTACAATATTTAAAAGCCAGATCAAAAACCAAACCAAAAAGCTAGAATAACTTACACAAACTAAATAGCAAAATCTTTTAAGCAGCCAACAGAATGCACCAATCTAATATTATAATATAATATAATATCATGGCATGATTAAATGCCATGTCAAAAGCTAGTACCAAAAAGATATCAGAGTTGGCACCAGGAAGTCCTCAGTAGTGAACTTGTTCCATGACTGGGGTCCAGCACTAAGAAAGAAGAAAGAGCTTCTTGTTGCCACCAAGCAAGCCTCCCTCAGAGGTGACAATTGGAGGCAGGGCCCAAATCCTGCCCACAGTGTCCAGGTAGATTCAGCTGGGAGAGATATCCTATCAGCTATTGTGGCCCCAAACTGCTTAGGCTTTCATAGATTAAACCAGTGCCTTGATTTAGCCTCAGGAGGATATAGGCAGCCAAGACAAATGGGCCAGAATTGGTTTTACTTGTTCAGATCTTCTGGCCCCTGTTATTAATCTGGCTTCAGCATTTTGCACAAGAAGAAGCTTCTGAGCAAATGCACTCCCACACCAGAATGCATTGCAGTAGTCTAATTTGGAGTGTATCCATGTGTAGATTACTGGAATAGGCTATCCCTGTCCAGAGAGGGGCATAGCTAAGCCTCTAGTGGAAGGCTATAAAGCCAGTTCTGAAAATAAGTATCTGGGTGTATTTGCATTAATAGATACACCAGATACTGGGGGATACTTTACTAGTGGCAGAACATCTACACTGTAGATGCCTGGTAGATTTTTAAAGGGAGGTCATGCCACAACATGGCATTATCAGACCAGTCCTCTGAAAAGTCTGATTGTTGACTACCACAAACATCTTCAGTGAGCTTGCAAACTCTTTGCCTATGAATGCAATAGCTATTCCCCCAGAAAACATGCCAAAGAGCATGGAAGTTACTCATACAAGATCTTCTGAGGTGCTCCTTCTCTTTCCAGCATTTCTAGTTATGCCAGGTTATGCACCTAAAGTGTAAGCCATTGTGTCACCAGATTCTTCCCCAGACAACACACATGGGCACACTGAAAAATCACTGTAGCTTAGGAAGGTAGCTTGTCTTCATGTCCACAGTGATGCTTGGCTGATTCAGCTGCTCTACCTTGGCTAGTGATACTCTGAGGTTTCATTCTTTCTTGTCCTTCAGCCATGCACCATCTAGTCTGAATCTAGCCAGACCACTGTTCAGTGGACCTGAGCAGCATTTGGGGCTTTAATCAGTATCCCCTCTCCCTGAGTTATGCTGTTGAGGATACCATTCCCCCTCCAGGCAAGGGCTAGATAAATTTAGGATCACCCACCCTACCCTGTGAAAGAAGATTAAATAGCCCTTTTGGTAACAGCATTCATTATGCTGTAATGAATTACATGTTAGATGCAAGAAGGAAGAGACAAACACTGTTGTTTCTCATAGATGCCTAACATTGTCACTGCTGGAGATCTATTCCAATCTGGGCTACATGCCTTTTAATTTAGGAGAGCTGGGATTCATAATATCTATTCTCTTACAGTACAGATTTGTCCATGTGGAACGGCCTTCTCAGTTTGGTGGTGACCCGTGTGATTACGCTGACAAAGAAAGTGAAGATTGTGTTACCAACAGGCCTTGCAGAAAAACAGTTAGATGTGAAGGATTTGTATGTGCCACAGGTTAGTGAAGAAGAGGTGACTTCCATAAATTGAAACCAGTGGCTAAACCCAACAAATTGAATTTGATTTCAACATAATAGAGAGAATACACAATGAATGAAGTTTGGCCTTTTAAGTTATACAGCAACAGTTCACATGGTTTGGTCTGAAATATCCATGGAAGTCTGTTGTTGTTTGCACCTTTGAGATCCCTGAAAGACATGGTAATAAAACCTGTAAGAAAAACAATTACTAAGACAAGCATTGTTCTCATGTGGTCATGATGCTGTTATAATTCTACAATTGCAACCAATATGTTCTCTGTTGGGTTAGGGTGTGTGTATGGGGAGGGGGAGTAGTAAAAGAATAGAGTTCTTAGTTCCCATTGTGTGTTCACTGTAAAGTAGAGATCACAATTTATCTCACACATCAACTGCGACATTGGATTAAGTTAGACTGAGTCTACTTGTTAAAAATATCTGCATTAATGCTTTCCAGCATCCATGGCAATGTGTTTAAGATGAATACTTTAAATAGACTGCAAAGAATTTCTGACTTGGCTTAAAAACTGTAGAAAAGAGAAGCAGAGAACTGTTTTTCCACCCACTTGTAAATCAGTGCATTCTTATCAGTATACTTTAACCACAGACATAAATCTTTACAAACTATCTTGAGAATCACTGTACCACATTCTTCACCAGACTTCTAGTGAGGATTTCTTAAGAACAGTATCTCTATGCAGATGTCTACAGCCAGAAAAACGTCAGTTTTTCTATGTTCATGCAATGGCAGCACTTTGAATGTTACAGAAATTTCACCTTGTTTGGCTGTTATTTTGGGTGCTGAAGGCACATAATGGAGCAACAAGTTGGTAATTCATCTGGAATGTCTAGGGAAAGAGAGCTGGTCTTAGGGCATTACATGACCTTGACAGGAAGCTGCTTTCCAAAAGTTTATGTTAGCATCTTCTTCAAGTCACGGAAATTACTAAGAATGAAAGCACATCTCTTAGCAGTTCAGAGCTAGAGAAAACAGGCTGGATGATCTAGATAGGTAGAAGGGAAGGGGCCATTTTGGAGCAGACTAGGGTCCGAGTTCCTGCTGTGTGCTTCCAGCATTTTCAGAGCTCAAGGCCCGTGTGCTATGCATACAGTGCTCTCTTCTACATCCACTGCCACCGCAAGCAGCACTGGGTGGGAAGAAGGTGAGTTGCCAGGAATGCCTGCAGCCACTGGGAAGGTTGCCAGTTGCGCAGCTGGTAGTCCATGGTGTTGCTTTTGGCTCAGTTCATTGTTCAAGACTAGGCAATCACGAGAAGACATCCACCAATGCTGGAGGGATGTATTCCAAAAAGGATCATCCCAGTCCTAGTTATAGCATCTAGGATTATTCAGCCTAGGGGAAAGGTGAGCAAGGGGAGATACAGTAGAAGTATGCAATAAATGGAGAAAGTAAAGAGGGAGGCATTTTCCCCTCCCTCGTAATAGTAGACCCTGGAGAGGACTGGTGGAGATTCAGGACAGAAACAGGAAGTGCTTCTCCATTGCAGTTCATAGTTCAACTATGGAAATCGTTTCCATGAAGGGTGATTATGGGTGACTTCAACAGGGAATTGATTGGAGGATAAAGCTATCAATGGCTACTGGTCCTGATGGTTTTATGCTGCTTCCAATATCAGAAACAGAATGCCTATATGCAACAGTTGCAGGACAGCACGAGAGGGAAGTTGTTGTGACACTAATTCTGCTTATGGTTGTTATGAGCAGAATTTCTGCTTTCTGCCCTCTCCTCCTTTTGCTTTCCCAGAAGACTTAGATGAAATCTTAGATGCACGGTCCTTTACAGGTTGCAAAACGGGATAAATTTATATTGTGTTTATTTATTTATGATTGTGAGCCGCCCCGAGGCTTCGGCAAATGGGGAGGCATAGAAGTTCTCTAAATAAATAAATAAATAAATAAATAAATAATTCAGCTGGTGCTCTCTGAGGTGTATGAGAAACATCTGCCCATGTGAAGAATTGAATCCAAACTGAAACATCCTCTCCTATCCTCCCTTTCAGAAAAGATTCTGATCCCATCCTCAGGGTGGCTCCTGCTGCTTGAGGGAGAGATGGCAGGAGCACCAGACACTTGGAAACTTGTCTACTCACCTCACCTGTTGCCTCCTTACAGGGTCACTCTCCCTCTCCAGCTCTGAAATGTTCCTTTATTTTCCAAGGTGGGCTGGTTCTCACACTATACCTAAGAGTCTTCACTCGGCAGCCTTGCAACTGCCAAGTCCTCTGTTCATCTCTGCCGCCCGCCTTCTCCTCAGAATCAGATGATGCTATCTGAGCAGACATGTGAGAGATGGGCCCCTTCACTACAATGGGTTGCATGTAGGCCGCAGTCTGCCCACTGTATGAACAGAATGCTGGACTAGATGTGGGCCAATCCGTCATGGCTCTTCTTATGTCCTTACTCTGCTTAGCCCCAGCTCACAGGGTTGTTAGGAGCATAAAAAGAAGCGGAGGAGGATCAGGTATGCCTGGGTTCCATGGAAGAAATGTGGGATATAAAGGGGCAAGTGGCTATTTGTTCACACAGCACAAAGCTAAATATTAGAACCAATTAATATAACATAGTGATGGCTACCAACTTACATGTTTTTTTAAAAGGGAATTGTGCAAACTCGTGCAAGATAATTCCATCAGTGACTACTAATCAAGATAGTTGCAATTTACCTCCAGGATCTGAGGCAGCTTGTCTATGTGAACGAATTGCTGGGGAATGTTACACTCATTTCCTGCCCGCGTGCTTCCATTAACCTCTGGCTCGTTGAGGGAATGAGGTGCTGGACCTGAGGGGCTCTGCTCCGATTGGTCACAGCTCTTCAGATGTTCTCATGAGCATATTTCTGGATTGTTATTTAAAATAAACATTTGGATCTTCCACATTAAGAGGAGACATCTAGATTCCATCTGCACAGTTAGATAATATGCTTGCTCCATATTGTATTCACAACAACACAACATTTCTCAATTTATTTTTCTGTGGACAATTTCCTGCTAGTCTCACCTAAGAAATGCAATATATTTTAATTAAGCAATGTTTATACTCCACCATAGCCATTGCTCTCTTACTTTGCTTCTAATTGACTTGTGACTTGTAAATCCTGAATGTGATTAAAATTACCAAAACTATGTTAATCTCTGTAGATTCTTTCTAAGGAATCATTAAACCAATTTGTACTAAGTCTGCAAGTTTTAAGGAGAGACAGAGATATAATATTGCACTTACTAACCTAAATGGTAATATCAGATTAACAAATCATTAATGTCCTTCCATTTCTGCGTTGTAGGAAGGTGCATTCATCGGAGGCTGCTTTGTAATGGAGATGATGATTGTGGAGATCGATCGGATGAAAGGAATTGTAAGAAAATATATAGGAAGTGCACTCGGGACCTAGAACAATATTGGGCAATACAGAACCTGGCTACCGGGTAAGTCGCCCTGCAGTTTGTGACCATCCCCAGAAATGAAAAGACAGCAGACAATGGGGTCGCATTATGGGGGAGCCTCCTTGTTACTCTTATTAGCATCACACAAGCTCTGCAACAGTGATAAACACTTAAAAGTGAGCTTGAATGGCTCCAGGGTATTCCTGCCCCTTTGCCACACACTGAAATTTTGGGAGATGCCCTCCTGGCTACCATCCATTAAAGTTTGACTCAATCCTGAAGCAGTGGGTTATTTCCCTATCCCAAGTAGGGGACAATCCCCAAGCAGCAGGTCCTTGCAGTCCCCCTTTCACATTCATGAAAACTCCAGACGCTTACCAACTACTCCCCCAGGATTTTCCAACACAAGCTGCCTGCCTGAATGCGCACACTGATCTGTGCTTGATCTGTATTGCCATCTTTATACAGCCAACTGCATCTCTGGAATGGGGAAGGCTCTTAGGCAAGCATTTCCTACGGTTAGCAAACATTGCTTCACCCATTCTGATCTCAGTCCAGGAATGGTCCAACTAGATAACTAGTTCAAGGAGGCCCGGGCAGGGCAGACATATAGTTCTTCTTTTCCTGTCCCTTTGCATTGACACACCAGTGTTACATGTTGACACACTCTGGTCATATGTGTCACTAAACCTCCAACACTGACCGCAAAGGCTGATTCCAGTGTGACTTTCAAGAAATGTATGTTAGGCAAAATTGCCTGCAAAATGCCAGCGTCAGGAAAAATGTGCTCCAAGTTTGGCATAATTGTACCTAATACTGGAAAATGCTCAAAATTTGGGATGCAGTAAAAAATAGCAAAATAAGAAACGGGGAGAAATCAAAAATGACAGAACTGTCCATTTCCAGTTTTGACTTTCCCTGAAAAGCAATTGATTAACAGTTTGACAAGTCTGGAAGGGGCAACACTCATAGGAAGAGATGATATTCAGGACTTTCTACCAATACCTTTCTATATTATAGTGGATTGTTTTAACATAAAAGAGAATCAAGACTGCCAGCTTTAATACATTTCTAGTCTTCTCTAATCTTCATGTATAAGCTCACATGTACGGGATGAGACCAACTTACTTTTCTGTACAGCCCACAGGGAACACTGAGAATAATCACTGACTGGATATAATTCAGTTTCAAGTAAATAAGCTTTGGGTGATGGACGGGTCAATAAAATGTTCTACACATGTGCAGCATGTGGAAATGTAGTCTACTCTTCTTGCTATAATCATCACAAGCTATTTTGTTCTCCCAGTAATCTTTGAGGGGGAGGGAAAATGTTCTTTGAAGTTGTCATGGCTTTTATATGCTGTCATTAACTCTGTAACACTGGAAAGTTAGAATTAAAAAAATAGTGCTGATCAATTACAGGATCATCCTTCATATATGAAAATGTAGTTGTTTACTGTTCTAAGTTTAATGGACCCCTCTGCTCTAACACTGAGGCTTTGTAATTTCTCTAACATTTATTAAAATTCCAGTGAAAAAATTATCAAAATCAATTATCAGCTGTTGCTTGATCATGTCAAGGACAAAAGCCAGGCTGGGGTGGTGGGGAGAAATTAAATACACTTATTTATCGATTTATAACCCACCTGATATTTATATTTCCAGTGACAAGGATTCTAGGTGGCTTACCATATTAGAATTCATGCAATTAAAACATAAAAATATACAAAAGTTTAAAGTGATTAAATATTAACATTAAAAAACTACCCAGATCCCCCCTCCAGAAAAACACCTAAAAAATATAAACAGTAACACTAATCTAGCACACACTCACAGGCCAGTCCTGCACGCCTGCTGGAACAAAAAGGTTTTACCTGTTTTTGGAAACCCAGCAGAGAAAGCAACAATTTAGCCTCTCTAGGAAGAGAATTCAGAGCCGGGGCAGCCACAGAGCAGGCCCTCCCCATGTTCCAACCAACCATGCCTTTTGGGGGGGGGGGAACGAAGAGACCCCCCCCCCAGAAGATCTGAGAGCCTGGGCAGGTTCAGACAAGAGTACATGGTTTTTCAGACAGACTGGACCCAAGCTGTACAGGGTGTTACAGGCCAACACCAGCACTTTGAATGCTGCCCATAAAAGAGCCAGCGCAACGGGGGAGTCCAGTGGTCCCTGCAGCCGGCCTCAGTCGACAGTCCGGCAGCTGCTCTCTGAACCGGCTGAGGCTTCCAAGCACCCTGCAGAGGCAGCCCCATGTAGAGCACCTTGCAGTAATCCACACGGGCTGTAACAATGGCGTGTGTCCCCATGGCCGAATCAGATCACTTGCCGGAACACAATTTTATCCAGGCTGATTTTCAGGGCCAAAGGAGACATTAATTTAAGGATACTGCAAGAGATATCTATTTGACTTTATAAATTGCAAGTTGTTGTTAGTCGTGAAGTCGTGTCCGACCCATCGCGACCCCATGGACAACATTCCTCCAGGCCTTCCTGTCCTCCACCATCTCCCAGACTCCATCGAGGCTCACACTAACTGCTTCAGTGACTCCATCTAGCCACCTCATGCTCTGCCGTCCCCTTCTTCTTTTGCTATCTATTGTTCCCAGCATTAGGCTCTTCTCCAGGGAGTCCTTCTTTCTCATTAGGTGGTCAAAGTATTTGAGTTTCATCTTCAGTATCTGGCCTTCAAAAGAGCAGTCAGGGTTGATCTCCTCTAGGACTGACAGGTTTGATCATCTTGCAGTCCAAGGGACTCGCAGGAGTCCTCGCCAGCACCACAATTCAAAAGCCTCAATCCTTTGGCGCTCAGCCTTCCTTATGGTCCAGCTTTCACAGCCATACATTGCAACTGGAAAACCATTGCCTTGACTATATGCACTTTTGTTGGCAGGGTGATGTCGCTGCTTTTCAGTGTGCTGTCTGGATTTGCCATAGCTTTCCTGCCCAGGAGCAAGCGTCTTTTAATTTCTTGGCTGCAGTTCCCATCTGCGGTGATCTTGGAGCCCAGGAAAATAAAATCTGTCACTGCCTCCATTTCTTCCCCATCTATTTGCCAGGAAGTGAGAGGACCGGATGCCATGATCTTAGTTTTCCTAATGTTGAGTTTCAAGCGAACTTTTGTGCTCTCCTCCTTCACCCGCATCAAGAGGCTCTTTAGTTCCTCTTCACTTTCTGCCATGAGAGTGCTATCATCTGCATATCTGAGGTTGTTGATATTTCTCCCAGCAATCTTAATTCCAACTGGTGATTCATCTAGCCCCGCCTTGCTCATGATGTGCTCTGCATATAAGTTAAATAGGCAGGGCGACAGTATACAGCCTTGCCGAACCCTTTTCTCAATGTTGAACCAATCAGTGGTTCCGTGTCCAGTTCTCACTGTTGCTTCTTGACCTGCATATAGGTTTCTCAAGAGACAGATAAGATGGTCTGGTACTCCCATCTCTTTAAGAACTTGTCACAATTTATTGTGATCCACACAATCAAAGGCTTTAGCATACTCGATGAAGCAGAAGTAGATGTGTTTCTGGAACTCCCTAGCTTTCTCCATGATCCAGCGTATGTCGGCAATTTGATCTCTAGTTCCTCTCCTTTGAAAACCTGCCTGTACTTCTGGTACTTCTCGGTCCACATACTGCTGGAACTTAGCTTGTAGGATTTTGAGCATAATTTTGCTAGCATGTGAAATGAGTGCAATGGTGTGGTAGTTTGAACATTCTTTGGCATTGCCCTTCTTTGGGATCAGAATGTAAACTGACCTTTTCCAATCTGGTGGCCACTGCTGAGTTTTCCAAATTTGCTGGCATATTGAGTGTAGCACATTTACTGCATCACCTTTTAGGATTTTGAATAGCTCAACTGGAATACTGTAACCTCCACTGACTTTGTTGTTGCTCAGAATTCCTAAGGCCCATGTAAGTTCACATTCCAGGATGTCTGGCTCAAGGTCAGTGACCACCCCATCGTGGTTATCAGGGACGTTAAGCTCTTTCTTGTATAGTTCTTATGTGTAATCTTGCCACCTCTTCTTAATCTCTTCTGCCTCTGATGGGTCCCTGCCATTTTGGTCCTTTATCATGCCTGTCTTTGCATGAAAGATTCCCTTCATATCTCCAATTTTCTTCTATTTCTTTGCACTGTTCATTTAAGAAGGCATTTTTATCTCTTCTAGCTGTTCTCTGGAATTCTGCATTCAGTTGGGTGTATCTTTCTCTTTCTTCCTTACCTTTCGCTTCCCTTCTTTCCTCTGCTATTTGTAAAGCTTCCTCAGACAGCCATTTTGCTTTCTTGCATCTCTTTTTCTTTGGGATGGTTTAAGTTGCTGCCTCTTGTACAATGTTGCGAACCTCCATCCATAATTCTTCTGGCACTCTGTTCATCAGATCTAATTCCTTAAATCTATTTGTCACCTCTACTGTATATTCATTGAGGATATGATTTAGGTCATACCTGAATGGCCTAGTGCTTTTCCCTACTTTCTTCACTTTAAGCCTAAATTTTGCAATGAGAAGCTCATGATCTGAGCCACAGTCAGCTCCTGGTCTAGTTTTTACTGACTGTATAGAGCTTCTCCAGCTTTGGCTGCAGAGCACAGTCAATCTGATTTCTGTGTTGACCATCTGGTGATATCCTTGTGTACAGTCATCTCTTGGGTTGTTGGAAAAGAGTGTTTGCTATGATCATCGTATTCTCTTGACAAAATTCTACCAGCCTGTGCCCTGCTTCATTTTGTACTCCAAGACCAAACTTGCCTGTTAATCTGTTTATCTTTTGGCTTCCTACTTTAGCATTCCAATCCCCCATGATGATAAGGACATCATTTTTTGGAGTTAATTCTAGAAGGTGTTGTAGGCCTTCATAGAACTGGTCAACTTCAGCCTGTTCAGCACCAGTGGTTGGGGCATAGACTTGGACTATTGTGATGTTGAATGGTTTGCCTTGGATTCGAACTGAGATCATTCTGTCATTTTGGAGATTGTATCCCAGTACTGCTTTTCCTACTCTTTTATTGACTATGAAGGCTACTCCATTTCTTCTGAGGGATTCTTGCCCGCAGTAGTATGGGGCAAGTAGTAGTAATTCAGATGGTCATCTGAATTAAATTCATCCATTCCTGTCCATTTTAGTTCACTGATTCCTAAGATGTTGATGTTCAGTCTTGTGATCTCATGTTTGACCACATCCAGCTTACCCTGATTCATGGATCTTACATTCCAGGTTCCTATGGAGTATAGATTTTTGCAGCATCGGACTCTCCTTTCACCACCAGATACATCAGCAACTGAGTGTCCTTTCGGCTTTGACCCAGTCGCTTCATTCTTTCTGGCGCTACTAGTACTAGCCCTCCGCTCTTCCCCAGTAGCATATTGGACACCTTCCGACCTGAGGGGCTCATCTTCCGGCGTCATATCATTTTGCCTTTTGGTACTGTCCAGGGGGTTTTCATGGCAAAGATAGTGGAGTGGGTTGCCATTTCCTTCTCCAGTTGGTCACGTTTTGTCAGAGCTCTCTGCTATGACCTGTCCATCTTGGGTGGCCCTGCCAGGCATAGCTCATAGCTTCACTGAGCTACGCAAACCCCTTCGCCACAACAAGGCAGTGATCCATGAAGGAGATAAATTGCAAGAGGGCCCCCCAAACTAGAATGAGACCACAGTGGGTTTGACACCCCTACTCCTTCCCACACAATAGAGATCCAATCCAGATTTGGACTCTACCACACATACTCTAAATGAAAGCAGGAAAAAAAACCCAGGCATAGCTACTCATTATGTCTTTAATGCAAAGTTTCAGCATAGTTAAGTGCTTCCTCTGAAGCCAGTTTAGCCTGCTGATTTGAATGAGCCTAACAGCAGGTTTGCAAGACTTATTCCCCTTTGGCCACAAAGTGTTGTTGCCCCCGTGAGCCTGAGCAAACTGGGAGGGAGCGCAAACACTTGACTCAGATCCTTTGATTGGGAAACCCAGTCAGGTCTCCGGGCACCTGCTTCTCACAGAGCTGCAGCTGGGGCCACACATCTGCACCCAGTTGCTCAGGTGCTTCCAAGTATAAGGTGACAACAGAGAAGCTTTTTCATTCTCTGTATCAGTCCAGGGCAATGGAAAGAAATTGCAGACACTATTTTGATTTTTTAAAAAATACTCAGTTTCACAACTTTTTGATATCTATTGCACCAAAGAATAGTTGGCTAATCTATTATTTATTTAGAGCCCAGGCAGTGTTTTCTTAGCTGAGCAGAAGATGGAATACACTGACTGCAGGAGTAAAAATTTATAGTCACAAAGAACAAAAAGGGGGAAAAGGTGGGTGGGGAGGAAGGAAAGGTATAATTTCCTTTTTGTAGAACTGATAACTCCTGTGTAAACTTGATCTTTCTTCCCAGATTAAACATTTTCACCAACAGTCTGGAAGGATTGGTTCTTGACCATAAATACTATGCTGGAGCATGTTCACCACAGTATATTGCAGACACTGGTTTTCGAAAGCCGTACAATGTAGAGAGCTATTTGGCAGAGGTACGTCTCAACTGTTTGTGCAGTTAAAATTCACTGCATTGAGGCTGATACATCACCTCATTTATTAAGGTGAAAAGGTTGTTCAGCCAGACAATTTTATTTAATGCTTTACCTGTTTTAAATGGATTTCAAAATGCTTGCATATTCTTAGCTTCTCTGTATATGAAACAACGCAGAAGGCGTGTTCATAGACTCTGGGTGGGCTTGCACAGAATGGCATAGTGGCAAATCACTAAGGTGGGTTGCAGTTAAGTGCCACGCCACCACAAGGAGTTGGTTCAGGCTTGTTGTGGTTGCTGCCCTCCCCGCAAGCCCAACCCAACCCTTTCCCAGGGGACATCACAGGAAGGAATAAGACTCAGCAGAAAATGAGGTGCCAATAGGGTGCCAAGGGGGCACCACTGCTTCCTGCTCCAGAAGAGACCTCTGAATCTGTTCCATGCTGCGGCCCTTCTCAGGCCTGCCCAGCTGGCTCCTGCTAAGTAGGAAAAGGTAAGAGGGGGGTCTGGAGTCAGCTGTGAACAGGCATCCTAGCTGAACCCATGACCCACCCTTACCACTCCTGCCTGACCACCTTTCTCCAAGCAGAAGTAGGGAAGGGGACATGGGGTCAGTGGAAGTGCTCTGTACTTGGAGCATCCCCCCAACCCCTAGCCCCACCCCTTGCTCTTACCTGGGAGTAAGCTACGCCAGGCAAGAACTGCAGTGGGAAGCAGCAAATAGCCAAAATGGCTGCCCTGACCCCTTCCTCCAGAGTGAACAAAACTCTGTTGAACACAGGTCTGGATCCAACCCATTATCTAGTATGGGTTCCTTCATAGATAATTTTTTTCAACCAATCCATTAAGCGTTCAATTTTATATGAATGGAACTGTTTCTGAAATAACTGTGTTATTAAAAAAAATATTTTTTTGCACTGAACCAAGTATTTTTTTTTTTTTGCATCTTCACTGGAGCATGCTAGCTTGACCACAACCATTTATGTGAAATAAACCTTCACAAACCATAATACAGTACATTTTAAAGTGAAACCCACCTGCACATAAACCAGAGAACTTTACCTTAAGCAAATAATGTATAATCTTGAATAAATCAGCTGCAAGAATCCATCAAAATTCAACAGGAACTAGATTTTCAGCAGATTTCATCCATGTCTAATTTTAATTATGCTGTGTTCTTTTTTAATGTATGTTTTCAAATTGTTTGTTTGTCTTTCATGCATTTCCCAACAATGATGATGGTGGTGGTGGTGATGAGTATTTAGCCAATTACACCTTCAGACCCAATCCCTGTTCCCTCCTAAACAGCAGACATGAAATTGTAATACACAGAAACTAGCATGTTGCTTATTCTTCCATTTTGTTTAGACCAGGGGCAAATACGAATTTGAATTGACTGAATACCAGTCTTATTCAAGTTTTGAGGAAAATGTCTCCAGTGCAAAAATGAAACAAAAGAGCTTCAGCATTGGAATATCAATACCAAGTCTATTTGAATTTAATTATAATCAGAATGACCAGAGGTACAAGAAGTTCGTCCGGAGGACAAAACAATTTTCTTCAACGGTAAACATGTTTCTGCTTAATTTTAGGCATATTTTAAGGAGAAAACTTGTGCAAAAACTCTTACATCTATCATCCTCAAACTGTAGTATGTATTTGCAGAAAACTGTCATTTTTTTTTCAAAACTAAGATGGGCAAATGCCTTTGCTCAAAAGTTCATCCTATTACAGGCAAACAGTGTCCGATCTCTACACGGAAAACTAAGTGTGCATTCATGTCATCCTAAGGTCTTGAAAAGGTGCTGCATGAGGATGAAGGAACTTGATTCAAGTATCTAGGGATGTGTGTGCCATGCTATATGGGGAGGGACATAATGCGGTGGTAGAGGATATGCTTTGCAGACAAAAGGTCTCAGGTTCAGTCGCTGTCATCTCTTGGTGAGACACAAAATGACTTCTGTCTGTCACCCTGGAGAGCCACCACAGTCGGTGAGTAAGCAGTATTGAGGGTCTGACTCCAAATGAGGCAGTCCTTACTTGCAGTGCCTTTACACAAGACACACTCTTGCTAGGGTAGACCTATTCTGTGATCCACCAAGCTGAATATAGCCATGAACTGGGACCATCTCTTACCCCCCATTTCTGCCAAACTAGCCACAAAAGGAAAAGGTGCAGTGTGCCCCTCCTGGCTAGGACTGAGGGATGAATTAGATTGGTTTGCATGGTAATGTGTACCTACATAGCTCACACCTTCAGAGCAATTCTCAGTCCAATTATCCTTTGAAAATGGTATTTCTCTGGATTTTATCAAGTCCCCCAATTAAAAAATGCACACAAAACTGTGAAAGTTAACGGAAAGTACAGACTTAAATGTATGTATTGGTGAAAATAATATTCACAAACATGTTGTGTTAGGAAAACTGCATACAAAAGTTGTAAATTAGGCAAAATCATGTATGATACTTGCATTAGGAAAAACACACATCCAAATGTTGTCAAAGTTTTGTGCTTTTTTTTTTTTTTTTTTTGGAGGGGCATTTAAAAAAATCAAGCTTCAGGATGAACTGAATTTACAGTTAGAAAATAGGGCCAAGCTGAAATTAATCCATTACTACTTGTGGGCCACAACATGTGGCCTGTAGGCTACATTTCATGAAAAAACAGCTTTTCTGACCAAATATGCATCTAGTCCAAAATTCTATTTCCAACTGGTCAACCGGATGCAGGCAGGAAAATTCCAAGCAAAGCATATAGGGAACAACTCTGCCTCATGTTTCTGATATCTGAAGTACTGCATATCTAGATTTCACAAATCCAGTCAGCTATCATAACTGATAAGTACAGAGGGGTATATCATCAGTTGCCCTCTTTGTAAAGCCATTGCCACATCTATAGCAGTGAACTGTGTAAGTTTGTGCTGAGTTGAAAGTACATGTTTCTCTTCTGATCCAGCTGCCAAACAGATTCATCATCCCTGAATATTGTTATCACAAAGACTTATAATCACTTGTACCAAATAGAAATTTAATTTAAATGGTTCGAACCAGGACAGTACTTCTCAACTGAACTCATAGTTCTTCTCTGGTCTGTATTAGTCTATCCTGTCATCTCCCCTCCTGCAGACTGAAAGTCTTTAGCCTCATTTGGAAGTTCCTCCAACCCCTTCCTTATGCTGGTAGCCTTTTTAGTACTGTTTCCAATGCAATTATGTCCTTTTCAAGATGAGGAAACTAGAACTGTATACAATATTCCAAATATGGCTGCCATAATTTGTGTAACAGCATGCTGATAGTGGTATTTTAATTTCTAGTCCTTTTCCTGGTCATTCTGAACTACCTTTGGAACCCTGAGAGCTGAAACTTGGAGGAAATCTTTAGAAGGTGTCTTTCCTATCTCCTCCTATGTTCTGTGTTGACTGACAGCTCTGGAAAGTCAAGTACCCTGCTGAATGGGTCTGAGATGGAGTATAGGGATGCTGAGTGGAAGTGACCAAAACTGGGCACAAACTCCACACAGCAGTGACAAAAGAATGGGAGACCTTCCTGTCAACATACGTCATGACCTAGACTCTTCTCTCCTTTCCTTCAGGCTCCAAAATGCAAAACAATCTTTTACAGTGCGGATCTTTATTGAAACCAAATAGCTAACAAGACCGTGCGACCCTAAATAGCCTTCTGTCGCACTAAAAAGATAAGCTTCTGCTCAGTTGAAGAGCTGAGTCCAAAGTAAAAACTTCTTCTAGTGCCTCCCTTTCAATAACATTGTGACTCCCCCCTTAGGGTAGTTCTCATTAGTGGAGAACCAGCCAGCAAGTTCTCTGCAAGCCTTCCAGATGGGTAGCTTGCCTCTCCTGGTGCCTCTCCAAGTAATGGACCCTGCACATGCTCTCCCTCCTCTTCTGAAACCCGTTCCTGTCTCTTTCAAAACATGCTTGCTCTCATGATTGGCCTGGGAAACTGCAGTCACCTTGAAGGAGCTTCAAAAGCTTCTCTCCCTGCAGTGGCCATCTCCTCCTCTCCAGAATCCAATGACTACCCACTTGGAAAATCAGCAGACAGCAAGTACCTGGCCCACCCACAGCAGTTGGGGTGTGAACACATCAGTGTGTTCCTACATTCAGCTCTTTAACAGATGCATCAGGCTATGGTTTTGCATGTATAGAGAAAGAGCTAGGATGGATGCAAAAAGAACTAGAGGAATTAGCTGTACAAATTTGCAGGTGTATGTAAGGACGTCCTTCAGACAGTGTGCCAGGACTGTGAGGGAAAGGGCCCACATCTCACCATCCATTGCTGCCTAAGCATCTGCATTTCCAAGAGCAGTCTCTTAGAAGGCTGCTTTCCCGGTCCTTGGAATTTCCAGGGGGATGTCAGTATAAACATAAAAGGCCATGCTAATGTTAGACTGGTGAAATAAGACAGGTGCTGTCAGTTCAGAATATGGCAACAGAAGCAAAGACACCAAGCTATTCAACTGCAGGGCAGTCATGACATTAATATATAATGAAAATGGCTTGCAGGCCTTCCATAGTTTAATTATAGACTGCAACAAACCATTTCACCTTGAGAAAGTTGAAGTATCCGCTGAATTCTTTATTCAGGCGAACAGTGTATATTGCATGAAATACTTGCAGAATGGATTGTATTAGGTTATACCAATCCATAAAAATAAAGAATTCAGTCTGATGCAAAGCACAGTCAACTTAATACTGAAAACTGGGGATAGATTTTTGTATTAAAGTTTTTAGCTCTTAGAACTACAAAGCTCTTTTTTCCAGAGCTGAAATGAATAGTGCTTTTCAAATTCCACAGTCAAATCTAAAGTTTAATTTCAGTGTGAAACCATGTAACTATTTTCAGTTCAGTCATATAAGCTGAGCTAAGTGTCTGAATATCTTGGAGCAAATGTAATGTGTAATAAGTATTACATCTAATGTTTAATGTGTATAGTATATTGTTCCTTTTAAAGTTTTGTTTGAAATACAAGGTAAAATGAGGTTGTCCTGTATGTTTAATTTCCATTGACTTTGGAAATCATCTCTGTTTTAAGCTTATTTATGTATAAAAGTGGTCAGATTTTTTGAAACATTTTCCAAGTGCCTTTAAAAAAGAGTAGAATAAATTTTGTTTTGTTGTTTTAGAAACTGTTTTCATAGCTAAACACAGTAACGTTGGTGTTGTTTTTCCCCCAATTCTAACCATACTTCTGATTTCCATTGTATACCAAACAGTGGTAAAGGCATTCTGTGCTCTATATTAATCCTGAGTATGGTTCTGTACACTAGACATTTATTTTATAATTGTGTTGGATTCAAAAATTAATCTTATGGCAGGTCTTCTGGTGAATTCTGTAAATTAAAGGGCAGTATTCTCTCTCTCTCTCTCTCTCTCTCTCTCTCTCTCTCTCTCTCTCTGTGTGTGTGTGTGTGTGTGTGTGTGTGTGTGTGTGTGTGTAGTAACAGCCAGAAACTATTGATATTCTATTAGTTATGCATTACTGTTGTAAACCAGCCAGAGAGCTTTGACTATGGAGTGGTATAGAAATGAAACAAATAAATAAATGTATTTCCGGACAGACAAACCAATAGATGCACATGTATGGAATATGCAATCCTAAAGTGCAAAGATTGCACTTGGCTAAGATTCTGGCTCTCATTTGATGCATTTGTTTTAATGCAGTCTAGCAAATTTATCCATGCACACACAGAGCTGCAAGTTGCCCAGTATAAACTGAAGAGTCGAGAGTTGATGCTTCACAATGAGTTCTTCCAGAGAATCCTCCACTTGCCTATTGAATACAGCTATGGGGAATATCGAGATCTCTACAGGGATTATGGAACACATTATGTCACGGAAGCAATCCTTGGTGGCACCTATGAATATACTTTAGTTCTGAATAGTGAAGAGCTGCAGAAAGCAGGTATGTGAGCAGAGCTGGCTGCAGACGAACCACATCTTGTGAGGTTAATCAGTCTATGTGGGGACTTCTCAGGGGCTGTAGGAGCAACTGCTGAGGTGAGGAAAACCTGGAAAACTTTGATCTCAGTCAAAACGTGTTCTCATTTATTCCATAGCAAAAGGACATGGCATTTCAGCTTCTTTTCACCGCAGTCTATATGTACTTTTAGATGTTGAACCAGAATAGTATTGTCTTAACGCCCTAAAGAGAAATGAGCTGCCATGTGGTAATTGCTTGTTTGTTCCTGTCCTAGTAGGATGTGATAGAAAATGCTGCAGCATGGAGTGTTCCTATTGAGCATCCCAACCCATTAGCTATGTCTTTTTGGATACTCCATCCTATTCTTACTTCTTGGTTTTGCATTTCCCCGCTTCCAACAGAAAATCATTCTGTGATCACCGTGCATGTTCAGCCCTCTTTGACTTGCCATGGCTTCATCTTCATTCTGTTGCCAAAAACCAAACCTCCCTGCAGTAAGAGGTCTGGGTTTAGATGACAACAACTCACAAGGGCGTGTTGTGTCATGCAAACTCACTTATAGAATCATATCCAGTCATCTACTGCATAGTTTTGAAAGTATACCAGAACAGCTATGTTTAATAAATACAGTAACTTTTTGCAATTGTTGTACTATATTTTCCTTTTAAAGTTCTTTAGAAATAATGAAAGTAGCTTCAGAGAAAGTTGATTTTTTTTAATTTCAGAGCAAGACTTTTCCAGCTGAAACTGTGCTCATTTTTTATGGAAAACATACTTCTAAGCTTTTACTTACAGTTGTACTAGTTTGCAAATATTTCTGACCATTTTCTTTAAAAAAATAACTGTTTCAAAGGGCAGACAGAGAAAAAAGAGTGCCACCTGTGGTTTTTACATCCCAACATGCAGACCAGAGAGTCACCTTATAAGGCTCTGGTTTTCAAAGCTAGAATAACCACAGCAGTTACTGGTCAGAACAGGAGACACAAAAAGAGCGGAGTCAGTATCTACACTTTCTGATCTAGCTCGGCATTGGAGGATATTAACCTCATGGGGGATACTCAGAAGTGTGAGATCAACATTTAAATAAAGAGAATTACATCACAATCATCTTATTTTGTCACTTCTTCAACTTTTCCTATGCTTTTCAGTTGACAATTTGGCAATTGGAACCCCCTTAAAAGTGTGTAAATTAGACTATATGCATTCTCATCTTGTCAGTGTCTATGTATGTTCCACTTTGCTGGTTCTTTTATAGCTGAAACATACAAGAAAATTGACCAGACAAGTCAACACAAGGAGTATAAAACTGCTGGGATTGGTTGAAAGGGGTTCATAATGGATCTGTGAATCCCTTTCTTCAGCTGAAGGAACTAGGGTTGTGGTGAAATTGTGGGAGTTGGGTATCACATGAAATAGAACTTATATTCCAAGCCTAATTGCCAAATAGGAGGCATTTTCAGGGAAATAACAGCAGGAGAAAGAAGGGCTAACTCTCCTGGGTACTGAGTCCTTTTGTAAATTCCTCCTGAGTGGCAACTAGGCATGGGGGGGGGGGGGGGGCAGTGACGGGAGATGCTTCCATTGGATAAATGCTTTTATTTTTCCTAATATGATGCTGTTGGTGAAAAAAAAATATTCGTGTTTACTGTTGTTATCTAATTGCAGGTCCATATAGAAAATGCATGGAAACATCAATTAAAAAACAAAGATAGGAAGAGCAACAAAGAAAAGCTACCAGAATCAGCATACTAGAGAATCAGCACATTAGCCTAGATATTCTGATGAGTTTTCAACAGAAACCTAAATATCAGTTTTCAGTCTCATCTGCAGTCACCTGCAAATAGCTCAGACAGTCAGACACTGGGCAGGATATGTGTACAAGAATACACACTTGCAAGTAGGGCTGAATTATGAGAAGAAATCGCATGCTTCATTTTATAAATACTTTGCATTCAACTCTATGTTTCCTTTAGTAAACATTCCTCTTCCTTCTTCAAGGTTACTCTCTTAGTGATGTTCAGTCTTGTACACAGAAAGGGGTTAAAGTTGGTGCAACTATTTATGAAGTCCGTCTGTCAGTTGGTATAACAGTTGGAGGTTGTGGAGCCATTTTAAAAGAAATTGGAGGTAAGCATACAATGATCAAGTAACGTGACAAATGCTTTGGCGCTTAGCTTTATCAATGTTCTTGATACACATCTTTGAAAAAAGAAAAGGTTTTTACTAAAGATGATTTAGGAAATGTAATTATTGATAAAATACTAATTGTAAAGATTATAGTTTTGCAAAATGAAGCACAGATTTGAAATGTACCAATCTAATTTCCAGCGAAAAAAACCAGTGAACTACTGCAATTAAAAATATTTGTTATGACAGGAGAAAATAGATGAAGGAAATACGATTTTTTCTATCTTTCTGAAAATTATAAAAGAAGAATTGGAAAAAAGTTAAAGAGATTACCAACACACTAAATAAATCAGTTTAAAATGGTATGACCAATCTTTGACATTATTATATGACAGTGAACAATGCTTGGAAGAACTAAAAGTAAATACACAGTTACTTGAAATAAGCCTCAGTTAATATAATTGGCTTGATTTCTGAGTAGACACATAAAATTCCACACTAAAAGCTTCATCCTTTTTGTCTCCATCACTTTCTTTAACATCACACAGTGCAGTCCTACCCATATTCACTCAGATCACTGGGAGTTACATCCTGGCAAGTATGTGTGTACTAGTAATGTTAGTATTATTAATACCAACAACTATGGAGGGAAAACCCGTTCCTAAGAAATAGGGAAACTAGGGACTGTAAATAGAGGAAAATATGCTACGAGACAACTGTTTTCCAGTTCTGCTCAAGGAACAGTAGTAGGCAATGGGCAGACTTGGGTATTTCTAGGCATATTTCCATACTGAATATTATAAACAGAGAGTTCCTGTCTCCTCCTGAAGGAATCTCTCTTTGCGAAGCATCTCCTAAAACCCGTATGATCAAAAGAGTAGTCTTCCTCCTTTTGCTCTTCCAATTTGCCTTTCTGTGTGATCTCTTCTAAATGTTTCCGGAGGAAATGCAGTAGCATTGCTCTTGATCATCTGGTTATTCATCAATTAGAATTGCTGCTGATCCACACTGGTGGCATCATGTGTGGGCATCATTAGATAAGTGGACATCAAATGTTGACTTCCCTGCATGAATGGGTCATCTCAGACACCCTACTTCACACAGCTAGAGTTTTCATATTGCCACTATTTTCACAAACACAATACTTTTTCAGTGGAATCAGTCCGGCCATTTACAAGAAATCAGTTGGAGTATGTACATCTCTGGCTCTATATTTTATCCAATATATGTGTGGGAGTGGGATAGGGAGAAGAAATATGTTCATGCACAGCAGACCAGACTCAATTGTGCACCTTACCAGAGGCACAAGTTCTGGATAATGGGAATGAAAAGAGACATCCTTTGTTCTTTTCTTTCTTTCTTTCTGAAACATGTTGAGCTACTTGAGAGAATGATGGAATTCTCTCTGTGATGTTATGTCTTCAGGTGATTCACTGCTTGATGATACAGACATCAAATGGTAAACATGCATGTGTAAAACCACACAAAATTTGAACTGATGTCTTGTCAATCTCTTACAGACAGCAGATCAAAGAAGAAATTTGTGGAGGATTTTATTGCTCTTGTTCGTGGAGGAGCGAGTGAACATATTACAACTCTTGCTAACAAAGACCTACCAACAGCAGAACTGATGCAAGAGTGGGGAGATGCTGTTCAGTACAACCCTGAAATCATCCAGATGAAGGTTGTGTAAAGGAATTGCAATTACAATGTTGTATTAACTGCAAGACTATTTAGCAACAACGTCAGCTAAAATTTCAGGATATGGCTTTCACATTGGATTTGGGTGTAAAGATGGGATGAGAATCAAGAAGAGAAAATAATTCTTTACTGGTCTATTGAAAGCAAGGGCACATGATACATTAAATTTCCTGATCCTGAGCAGTGCCAGTGGAAGCCACAGAAACTGTCCTTGGGACCAGAAGATACTGATGGTGGGACCTGTAATGCAGAGAGCTGAGCAGGAATGGTTTAATTGTCAAGAATTAGAATTTCTTTCCTGGGGAGCTTGGTTCACGGAAGTGGCCACCCACTTACTTTTTTGATGATTTCCCCATTCTTTTTAACAGAATGCGCACCCCATTCAGGATGGACTTCACCTCTCAGGAATGGCTTTTGAGGGGACTTCAAGGGGCAGTAAAGAACAAGAAATTGATTTCCCCCTGACTCCGTTCTGTTGCTGCTTCTCTGAGTACAAGCCCCAATGTTTAGAAGCAAGGATAGATAATTTGTTCCCTACCCTCAATGTTTAGTAGCTACAAATTCCATTAACCCTAGTTAGCCAATGGTGATGAACCATGGGAAATGTGGCCAAAACATCCGGAATTTTGCAAGTTGATCAGTTTTGGTCTCAACAACGACCCTGAAAAGTTGAATAAGGATGCTTTTCAAATATTAAGCCTGAAATTAGTTCCGGAATTTGGAAATGATAATCCTGCCCTACTGCAATTATAAATCCCATGTTGAATAGGGATTAGGATTTTGTTTTGCCTTTTTAAGGAAATGATCTTAAATCTTTATTATTGTTATTTTTTAAATGAGATACCTCTGAACTTTACTGGGTTGAACTAACAGAAGCCGATCTTATCCTGAACTTGATTATGAAACATTTGAAGCACTTTACACAATGAGGCTAACAACACAGCAATCCATGAAGCAACAGAAACCCAAATGATGCAGCAATGATCCCTAGTCTGGGATATGTTGCGTGCATGTGCCCAGTATAAGTCAGCCTCCTAGGCCTGGTCTCTCCTATTCAGAAATATGTATGTGATTTTATACAGAACATGATATAGCCTTTTCTCTCATTCTCCACTGTAGGTGGCACCACTCTATGAATTAGTGACTGCAACCACCTTTGCAAATGCAATTGCACTGAAACAAAATATGAGGCGTGCCCTGGCTGAATTTCAGCAGGAAACGGACAGCTGTCGTTGTGCCCAGTGCGAGGCCAATGGAACGCCTTTCATGAATGGTGAGATCTGAACTCTTTCCTTTCTTGCCTGATAAGCAGGATCACATGATAACTGTGAGTCAGTTTTTGCCTCAACTCTCCTCACTTTCCTGTTGTTTCCATGAAATATTATGAGGAATATACCATAAGTGAACGATCCATCAAATATCACTACGTTTTGTGGAAATCACAGCAATATAAGGGATTTCACTGCTTGGCCAAGTGGAATCTCATCTTAATCATTTACATTTAAGAAGGCTTTCCCAACTTAATTATGCATAAAACACAAAGTTGCAATCTGCTTAAAATCTCTTGCAGAAATAGCTTTGCTAAGCTTTGCAAGCTGACTAGCTCTCTGGCCATTAATTAGTGTTTCTCCCAGCTCTTGGAAGATGGAATGCCATCTGCAACTGCTAAAGATTGTTATCATTATCATCACCGGAAAGCCACACTGGGCGTGTTTCCCTGCTCCCATTTTGGACTGCTCTTGTTTTGAAGACGATGCTAGCTTAATTGCATGGGGGAAATCATTTTTAATTGTAATAAGTGTAACTTGGACATATGAAGCTGCCTTAAGGGCCACAGCAGATGTTCTTTAAATATGTAGCCTAAAGCTACATATCTGGTTGTGCCTTGATTGATTACATGTGCAGACAGCTAAAACACTGAGAAAGATAACAACGCAGTGGCACCAAGCTAGTTCATAGTCAGACTATTGGCACATCAAGCCCAAAGCTGATCATAAAAGTCTAATAAACTCTCCTTGCTCTTGGTGCAAGGCTAAAGGGACATAGGAACCTGTCTTATACCAGCTTAGCCTGTCTGAGTTCAGGCAAAATGATAACCCAGTCCTCACTGAACAGTGCTGAAACTCAGGTGGTCATGTTGCTTGAGAGGACAATCCATGGTGAACAGCTGACAGTTCACAACCAAAAACCAACATGGTTCTCTTCATTGGTTGTTTGTGGTTATTGAGCCATGCTTGGATATATTGGCAGAGTTCAGACAACACAATAGCCACATTTCAAAAACAAACCATGCATCAGCATCTACCTATACTGAATTCTGGAGTGTGAGGGACTGTGTTGCCCAAAGCAGTCGTTGTCTAGCCCACTGCTGCTTCCATTCCTGCTACCTAGTTCTGGCTAGAGGCAGGGCGGGCTGAATAGAGAACAAGGCTTTGCTGATGCACAGGATGTTCTTCCTTGAACAAATATAGTAGGGGATGAGCTTCATTATACAAAGTAATCTCAGTTTGCATTTGCAAGAAGTCTACTAAAGTGAGCTTGCTAAGAGTTTGTCCATCTAAGGCAGGGGCTCCCAACCTGGGGTGTCTGCACCCCCAAGGAATGCCAGTTGGGATTTCAGGGGGTGCAACAAAGAGGAAGGCTGTGATGCAGTTCTGCCAAGATCGGTGAATCATGACATTTATGGCCAACAATTATCTCAGTAATAAAATTATGTATTATTATTTGTTTGTATTTGCAGTCAGTTATCTTTTGTCAGTGAGGGCAAAAGAGAGAGTTCAGCTAGAGAGTTCCATGTTTTGACATAATAAAGAAGTCATTAAATTTTATGTCCACAATTGGGATTGATTTTACTGTTTACAGTTTTTTCTAATTGCTCAATTTTTATTTAGACATATGACTTCTTCATCTCCAAATGTTATATTACTTTTGTAGGTGGTGCAAACTTTAAGCAAACATTTTCTGGGGTGTGGGGCATAGAAAAGGTTGGGAACAGCTGATGCATAGTGGTTTACATCTGCCCTGTTTTTGCTTTGGTCAGGGCCTACACATCCCGAAGCAGGTTGAGGAGACACCTCAGCTGGCTGATCCGAGGGAACAGTGAATTGCACCTCTCTGCCCAATCAGGACTGCCCCCAGCCTCCAGTAATTGCTGTAGGAAGCCTGTCAGCTGATCTCCCTTTATGGCATTTGTCACCGCGAAGGGGAGAGGCGGTGGGTGGGTTCTCTTGCAGGCCCTCTCTGCCGTGTTGCCATATACCTAGCTACAGTAATGTCTAAGGGGCTTAGGCAACAGCAGGGGTCTTTGATTCTGACAGCTTCCATCTCCCACATCCAGCTGTTTTTCAGATCTCAAGTTCTTTCTCTCCTGAATATGAAGAGCTTTGTGCATCCTGGAAAATTTGAACTTTTGAATAGAATTCTCACTCATCTCCACCAGCCAGATTCAACATGTGCCTGAAATTTTCACCCATTCTTACAAGCACCTGCATTCTGGAAAACTGCTCTGTCTGGATTCCCAGTCATGGGAACCTGGTTACAGACTGTTTGTGGCACTCAGTGCACAGGGGTGTTTTAAGCCAGCCAGTCAAGTAGCAACAAGGCGGGCAGGGCAGCTTACACACAGGTCCTTGTTCAGGTGTCCTTGTGTTGCATAATTTTGTCATAATTTTGTGTATGTGAAAACTGGATTTAAAGGTATTTCTGACTTCCTAATGCTTTTTAGGGATGCGCTGTGAGTGCCTTTGCCCACTAGGACATCGAGGGCTTGCCTGTGAGGAGACACTAAGAACAGGTGAGAGAGCAAGCAGGGAGGGTGGGATTTTTGGGAATGGAAGCACATGAAAATGACCATCAAAAGGTTGCAGTTAATATTTGTGTACTGGCCATCCTTCTTTTGCTACACATCTAAAATGTTTGTTGAAGTTAATTCATTTGCAATGCTTTTCTTCCCACTTTGACATGGGCTACGAGAATCCAGCAGTTTCCTGGAAATGTGTATTCTTAGTTTGATTGGTCTTCCCCCTTCTTGCTCTATGAAAACATGAGCATAGGTACCATTACTCTAGTGGTAGTTCAAAGGAGTCTTCACAAAACTAAGGATAGCTACATAATTGGTTCTGCTCGGTCATGCAATGAAAAGCCAGGTCTCTTCTGAGATAGTTTGGTCAGAGTATCATTTGTTTTTCTGGAATAACTAAAGGAACTGATCTTATCCAAGTTTCTCTGACTGAAAGCAAGCCATGCTTGAATATTTGCATAGTGATTGTGTAACACCAGTAAGTTCTATGGGACTGTTTGGTTACTAATGAACATTGCAATACAACCTTACATACAAAATGAACCTCTTAGCATCAACAGTTATATAACAAACAGCATGAACAATTATAATAATAACAAAATACTACAACCTGTGCACCCAACTCTCTGGCAACAGGACCAATGCAAAGAATGTCTGTAGAGCCACAAAGTTCAGGTGTCCTTGTGAACCCAACTCAAATACAACTCAGTTGTATATACATGAATTCACTATGTGGATTCATCCTTCCAGCACAACAGCAGCTCCTGCCTCTTCAGTTTTCCTGCTCTTTTGGATTTGAATGTTTTACTGCCCTGTTCTTTCTTAGCCCCACTTATTATTTCATAGGGGTTACAATGGCATGAAGCCACTCTGAGTTCATGGGGATCTTTCGTTTGCTTATTGCTTTGTTTTTCACCTTGCTTTTTCTCATCCCATGAATTGCGGGTGGAGAACATGACGCTTGCCAGAATGCCCTCCCTTCCCCCTTTGCACACCCACATGCACAGTCTGGCAGCTGCAAACACATCCGAGCAAAGTGAAGGCCTGCAGCCCTCTCCCTTTCCCATTATTGCCCCTGGAAAGCCAAGGCTTTCCTCTGCAGTGACCGACCACCAAGCAAACGAGAGCTTCAGCTGTCGGGTAGTATAGAACTGTATCGATACATGTTGTGTGTGCAGAGGGAGAAAAACAATGTCTTCTAACTTCTATATGAAAAGCTTTTAAGTGGGCTAAAAAAATGGGGAGGGGTGGGGTGGTGCTGGAAAGGATAGCAGGGGGCAGGAGTCAAGGAAAGTCAGTGGGGGCTGAGAGTAGCTTGTGCATTAGGGACAGCTCTATGTTTGTCCATGGGAACTGTGTGTGTGCATGAGAAAGTGAAGGGTTTTTGTGGGGTGGGGGAACATTCTGTAAGGATCCAGAAAAGAAAGTGTGTGATTTTAATGTGCTTGCATTGTGAAGGAGAAGGGAGGGCTGTATATGTATGCAAGCATGTATGTGGGATGGATGCGCGCAGTGCTTGGCTCTACAAGTGTCCCCTGTGCATGGAAAAGTGAGAAAGCGTGGTGGGCAGGAGTGGGGTGGCAGGGAGGGGATTCAGCATGAGAGCCAGAGAAGCAATGGGGGAAATGAGTTGGTGGACTGGAGGAGAGAAATTGTTTTCCTTTTATGAAAAAGGTTTCTGTTGACCGAAAAGTGTGGAAGGAGGTGTTCCATGCACTGGGGTTCAGCCCCATCTCTGCCTTTTATACAGTCTTTTTGGCAGGTTACTTATTCTTTGTGACTAGACACACCTCTGACAGTAACAATGTTTCAAATTGCCTAATGGGTCCACAGGCCCAGAACAGTTTTGTAGAATCCTTTTGTTCTAGCTTAAATAAGATGTTACCCACCTGTAGACCAGAAAGGAGTCACATTAAGTACTATTGAGTTAATCCTCATGCCATTTCATTTTGCTTCATTTCATTTCATTGCTGTATTGTTATTATTCTAGGTTTTCCTATAGATGGGAATTGGAGCTGCTGGTCCAACTGGGCTGCAAGTTCTGGAGGGCAACGGACAAGAAGACGGGAGTGTAACAATCCAGCTGCTCAAAATGGTGGCAAGCCATGTTCAGGGCTAAGCATTGAAACAGCTTAATAAAATATTTGAAAAAATGTTTGGCAGAGACACGGAATGACATTTTCATAATATTCTAGAGGCCATAGATATTGTTCAATAGTTCCCAGGCCATTTCCCCCCATCTTATTTAGATGATCAGTTGACACTTGAAGTGGGTGTGTCTTAATACAAAATCCTCTTTTGGATGTAGAGACTCAGATAAATGTACGGACAAATGCTTGCCCACCTCGGCTCAGTTCCTTTATGCACCATCTTGCTGCTCCCTCCCACACACGCTTGTGCAGGAAATGAGTGTGCCTATTTCAGTGAATATGATTTCTTGGATCTCGTTTGCTCAAAAAATAAAGTCAACACACATATATTATGAACAAAGAGTATGTGTGCTTTAAACAACTGGCAGGGTTTTTTTTTTAAATTGTTTTGCATACATACCTTTTAATATTAATGGTCACATCTGGCCTAGTGTTAAAAAAAGCAAACAAACTTGACAAACTTGACAGTTAAATAAAGCAAAATCTACTTGTATTATTTGGTTGTGTTTCAATGTATTATTTGCCGAGGAGATCAAATATCCATACTTTTTCTAACCAACAGTCTTATTCATGTGAAGTCAAAAGTAAGACGCAATATGTTCTATGGACCTTACTCCCAAGGAGCAGGACCTGGGTCTGCAGCATAATAGCCATCAAAGGCGCTTTATCCATTATCAATTGTGAAACCTGAACCAGACATGGTAGTGATATAACCAGTTTCTCATTTAGTGCATCAAATGTAAATCGTTTAACCAATTGGATACTGCCTTAAAGGGGAATAAGTGAACTGTAAGTCCTCTCAAATATCTCTGTGACACCCAATAATTTCAAAGCTGTATAATCATTTGATGATTTCCCTCTGTAGAATTACTCTGTAGAAGGACTATATTCATAAGCTTTCTGGAATTTTACGTAAGAATGAAATGGAATAAACTCATACAGATCATGGCCAAGTCTTGTTAATGTGCTGAAATAAGGATTAACTATTACATTGTACACTGAGAATGAGCATCTTGCATCTAGAGTGATGTTTATTGCAAAGAAGAATAGGATTGCTGTTACATGCTTTTAATCAGGATTTGGCTAGGTGCAGCTATTACCTAGAGCCATACCTGGTGAATTTGTCGGTAGCTGTGATGTACAACTATAATTCTAGAGAAGCTAATTCACTAGTTAATAGACATAGTGTGGGAGACCCTTCAACAGCTTCTCACATTACTCCAATAATATTAGGCTTCTAGCACTACATAGATAGGGCCAATTAGATGGTTCCTTACCACCCTAATATTGTTTCCCTTCCGAGATTCAGCTTCATGCTACCAATATAGTAACTATCAGCTATTATTAGCACCACTGAAACCACTGCAATCAAAACATTCAATTAAGCACTTAGGAGGTATTGGATTGGGCCTCAGACAGGCAATTGACTGAATCTAGTTAGGGTGTGCATGTGTCTCCCATCTTACCGCAATTTTGCCGATTACCAGGCCCTTTGTGAGCAATATCTGAAGTGGTGCTTAAGGCCTACAAAGTCCTGAAAAAGAACAGAGAACTGCTCCTCCACAATACCATGTTATCTCATGCAGGCCCACCTGCATTTTCAGCTCTTTGGGTTAGAGCTTCACTTTTTCTGTTGCACCGACATCTGAGCTCGGTTAGGTTAGGCTGAGAGGCACTGATGCCGTCAGCAGTCAAAGCTGCCCTGTGAGCTTCATGATCACATGGAGACGTTTAAGTCCCAGTCCAACATTCTAATCTCTGCACTGCACAGTTGCACTTAGACTGGCCAAGCCTGAGCTGATATGGACAATCTTTTCCACTGAACTGAAGACAGCAGAGTAACTTAGGAGACACGGTGCATGCAGCACAGCACACAGCTTTCTCCAACACCTGCCTGCTGCCTTCCTGCATCTGCCACCTGGGTGGCTGTACTTCTCTGCCTAACGAGGCAGTGTCCTTTGGTGCAAGGATGGCAGGCAAATGTAAGCAAGAAAACAACAGATATATTACTTTAAGCAACACACATAGCCAGCGTAACCCGCATTAGTGCCAGCCTTACTCTAGAAGCACCCATTTCATGCAGCCAGGTGCACAAGTCTGCAAGGTGTAAGCATCAAACTGGTATCACCACAGAATCTGCTGCCTGGATTTTCCAGTGCTTTGAATTACTTTTGATAGGGGTGTGTGTGGAAAGAGTGAGATGCCACCCGATCAGCTTCGTTCTGTTTCAAAATACTCATCATTTTTTGAGGCAAGCAAAGAATGAAAGCTGAATGGGTTGCTTGCTAGACAAGAGAAAATACTCTTATGTAAATTTCTTCATCTTTCCTGAGCATAAAAATATGAAGCAAAGCTGCTGAGATCCCAGAAGCTCGCCCTGCATTTATCAATTGCATTGGGTGTTTCAAACATGCACCGCATCATAATGCTGAATGTCTCAGTGTGCTCCAATCAATCAGGGCTCCTGACAGCTGCTAGCACTGGAAAGTCAGGACAGAATGAGTGGCACACAGAGACTTTTCAAAAACCCAGCAAAGCGTTATCTCCTTATGCACTTTTCTGGACCTCCCACCCCAGCAAGTATTGAGCATAATCAAAACATTTTACAGAGCTTCCCACTCCCTAACATGTAGAGATCTTTGTGGCTCTTTCTAGGTCACAATATTGAACTGATTAATTAGCTAAAATAAGCAACTTTTAATTGGCTTAAAAGATAACTCTGATTAAAACTCACCCACATTCACCCCCACATGATACCATTGATCTTGGTCTCAGTCTCAGTCTTGATCTCTGTATCTGAAATACAAGTCCTTAGAAATATGGTGAATGATACACTCGATCTTTTTTCTTTGCCTAACTGTTTCTCAGAATCAGTCCAATGAATTATCAGCACATATTTTTTCTAGATCATTACATGCATATGTTGAGCAATGTGTTTTAGGATTACAGCAAGCATCCACATGTTGATCTATAAATCACATACACACAAAGCACACTATTTTTTATACATGTAGCACACCGATAGAGATCAGTTTCCACCTGCAGGTATCTCTCCCACATGTATTCTTCACACTTGAAGTGCCTTATTCTCTCTTCGGTGTCTGTATGGCTGTTTCACTTTTCCTCTGGCACACACACACAACTTTTTAGTTCCACACATGCTCTAGCTTGCACCTTCATTCTCTGGGTTAATTTTGATTAGAATGTGAAAACATTTGCAATGGAAAATATGCTGCCCATTCTTTTTATTTAGCTTTGTGTGACAAATTCAAAAATATTAGAATAAATTTAGCTTAAACCTCTTGTAGCTATTAACTAGGCCTAGGAGATGCATCACAGCCTTTTCAAATGGGCGAGAACTGCATAAATGTTGGGAAACCACCAGATTGGTGGCCAGTGGAGTTTGTGTGTGTGTGTGTGTGGGGGGGGGTACTATTTGAGTAACCCAGAAACGCAAATTGAGGCTTGAGGTTATACCTGGGTGGGTGGGTGGGTGGGTGTGTGAGAGAGGGAGGTAACAAAAAGAAGTCCATAAAGCTCTTACTGCTACACAAGAGCATATTTTCTTGCCAACATTTACAATGCATAATATTACTATCCGTATATTTATTTATGCATTCTTGCTTGCTGTAAAAAGTAAATACTTTTAAGAAAATCTGAAAGCCAGTCAGAGTGGGAAATCTAAAGTTCCCTTTCAAGAGAAACACCTCCTTTTCTCCTCTGCTATCATTCACTGCACCCTTATAGCCTAGTGAGGATGCTAGAGAAAACTCCAGTGGATTGAAATGAGTTTGGAATGTTATGAATTTGACCAACAGAAAAGTCCCATGATCTGAAAATGTGCATTGTTCCCATATGCCAAAGTCTCTGTGTGTGGGGGGTACATTGTGCCGTTTTGAAAGTACAAATGTGTGCAGGTGCAAAAAAAATGTAAGTTCAAGAAAAGTGGAAAATATCTAGTACAAGCAAGGAGAGGACAATGGAATGAAAGGTCCCTGACAACCTTCAAACATGGACAGACCGGAGTTAACAAAATCTGTACATCCCAATTGCCTGGTTATCTTGAGTCTGCACCTTGAAAACCTGAGGTGCTTTGCCATCAATCATTTACTATTTTAGGCTGTATGCTACCTAACCAGTGCATTCAGACCCATACAAATATCTGAATCTGATAGCTTTCAACCAAAGCACCACCTATCCATTGCAAGAAGAGAGGAAAAAATAATGCCTCAGAGAAGATAGTCTTTGCAAAATATGTAAGGGTGAGCAACTGCCTTGAATGTGTATGGTGGCAGGAATTCCTTCATTACAAGCAGACAGCAACTCCAGGGTTCCTTTTTTGTTTTTTTTTTCCTTGACTCCCATTATGAGCTTTTAATTTAGTCCAGAAAATGGCTCTGCCTTATCTCATCTGGTATGGCTCACATGCTGGGCCCTTCAGCACAGCTTATATTAGTTTCTTTGACTAGTACTGTAAATGTGTAATTGCTCATAATCTTTTACAGGCCTGGCAGGCAGGTTAGCCTTTTTTCTCTGCGCTTCAGCTTCATTGCACACTCCCATTTCTCATTGTTGAGGGTTTGTGAGCCTCGGATGAAGTGGGAGAAGCCTGGGGCTCGAGGAGAGCTCTCTTTGACATTTGAAGAGCACCTCGAAAGGGGACCTTTTGCTGCCATTTGTTAAGTGGCCAGCGGTGCCCTGGTTTCGATACATTTTCTTGTCTTTATGCCTGTGCTCAAACATATTCTACTCTTCAGGAAGGCTAAAGGAAAGATAAGCTGACTTCCACTGACTTAACTGAACAGACACCCCACCTGATTCCTGGTAATACACCCAGACATTCCATTTTCATGGCACTACTGTATCTCCCCCCCCCCCCACTTTTTCACTAATTATTTCCTTCTTTATGTTTATGAGTTCTGTCCTCATTTCAAAAACAATGGAAAAAGTAAGGATCGATGTCTCAATTATGGACAAGCAAATCAGCCTCTTTTCAGTCTGTAGCACTTTTGCATGTGTTCATTAGTCATTCCATTCTTTCAATTTTCACATTAATCTCATTTTAAAAGAAAATGCGCAAAACCCTCCACATAATATTTAATTTTGAGCATATTTTATCTCCAAACCCACATATCTAAATGCATTTTAGAATAGCATTAGGATAAATCCCTAATCTTCCGCAATGTTTGAGTCAATACTTTCACCAAATATGGAAATTCACCAAGATCTGAAAAGTCTGTAAGCTGATGGATAACTCATTGCACATGTTGTTGTTGTTGTTAGTCGCGAAGTCGTCTCCAACCCATCGCGACCCCATGGACAACATTCCTCCAGGCCTTCCTGTCCTCCACCATCCCCCAGAGTCCACTCAAGCTCACACCAACTGCTTCAGTGACTCCATCCAGCCACCTCATCCTCTGCCATCCCCTTCTTTTGCCATCAATTGTTCCAGCACTGGGCTCTTCTCCAGGGAGTCCTTCCTTCTCATTAGGTGGCCAAAGTATTTGAGTTTCATCTTCAGGATCTGGCCTTCTAAAGAGCAGTCAGGGTTGATCTCCTCTAGGACTGACCGGTTTGATCCCCTTGCGGCCCAAGGGACTCGCAGGCGTCTCCTCCAGCACCACAATTCAAAAGCCTCAATCCTTTGGCACTCAGCCTTCCTTATGGTCCAACTTTCACAGCCATACATTGCAACTGGGAAAACCATAGCCTTGACTATCCGCACTTTTGCTGGCAGGGCTTTTGCAGATGTCTCTGCTTTTTAGTATGCTGTCTAGATTTGCCATAGCTTTCCTGCCCAGGAGCAAGCGTCTTTTAATTTCTTGGCTGCAGTCACCATCTGCGGTGATCTTGGAGCCCAGGAAAATAAAATCTGTCACTGCCTCCATTTCTTCTCCATCTATTTGCCAGGAAGTGAGAGGACCAGATGCCATGATCTTAGTTTTCTT